CAACTATTCACTGTCTCCATAGTTTTGCCTTTTCCAGAATGTCCTAGCGTTGGAAATCCACAGTATGTAGACTTCTCAGACTGGGTTGTTTCGCTTAATAATATGCATTGAAAGTTCCTCCATGTCTTCATGGCTTGATAGCTCTTTTCTTTCTAGTGCTGACTAATACTCCATTGCCTGGATGTACCACAGTTTATTTAGCTAGTCACCCACTGAAGGACATCTTAGTGACTCCCACACTTTGGCAACAATAATTTGTGCGCAGGTTTTTGCTATTTTGTGCTCCCAGCAGCAGTGTACGCGGTTCCAATTTCCCAACACTCATTTTCTCTTTTCTTTTCTTTCTTTTTCACTAGTGGCGGAGTGTGAAGTGGTATCTTGCTGTTGTTTTGACTTGCATCTCCCTAATAATGAGTGATATTGAACAGCTTTTCAGGCCCTTATTGGCCATTTTTATATCTTCTTTGGAGGAAGAAATCTTTATTTCTTTGTTTAAACCCTTTGCTCATTTTTAAATTGGGCTGTTTGTTTTGTTGTTCTTGGGCTGCAGGGGTTCTTTGTATATTCTGAATATTAACCTCTTACCAGATGTAGGATGTGCAATATTTCCTCCCATTCCGTGGGATGTCTTTTCACTGCATTGATAGAGTCCTCCGGTGCACAACAGTTTTTAATTTTGATGAGCCCCACCTTACCTGTTTTTTTTTCTTTTATTGTGTACACATTTGTTGTCAAACCCAAGAACTCATTACCAAATCCAATGTCATGAAGTTTTACCCCTTTTTATCTAAAAGTTTTATAATTTTAGCTCTTACTTTTAAGTCTTTGATCCAGTTTTTTTTTTCTTTGGAGGGAGGGAAGGTAATTAGGTTTGTTTGTTTGTTTTTAATGGAGGAACTGGGGATTGAACCCAGGCCCTTGTGCATGCTAAGCACGGTGCTCTACCACTGAGCTATACCCTCCCCTGTTGATCCAGTTTGAATTAATTTTTGTAGATGAGGAAAGTAAGTGTCCAATTTCATTCTTTTGCCTGTGTACATACAGTTTTCCCAACACCATTTGTTGAAAAGGCTATCCTTTCTCCATTGAATGGTCTTGACACCCTCGTCAAAATCATTTGACCATGTACGTGAGGGTCTATTTCTAGGCTCACTGTCCTAGTCCATGTGTCTATATGTTTGCCTTTATGCCAACACCATGCTGTTTTGATTGCTGTAGCTTTGCTGTAAGTCTTCAAATCAGGAAGTGTGAGACCTGAAACTTTGTTCTTTTTTTTTTAACACCTTTATTGTGGTATGATTCCTGTACAGTAAACTACACGTATTGCAGATGTACAATCTGATGAATTTTGATAGATGTCTACATCAATGAAACTACCACCACAATCAAGATAGCTAACATTTCCATCACTCCCCAGCCAACTTTGTTCTTTTTAAGATCATTTTGGTTATTATTCACGGAGTCTTGAGAGTCCATATGAATTTTACGGTGGATTTTTCCATTTCTGCAAAAACAAACAGTCATTGGGAAATTGATAGCAATTGCATTGTATCTGTAGACCACTTCGGGTACTATTGACATCTAAACAATTTTAAGTCTTCCAATCCATGAACCGGGGATGTCTTTCCGTTGATGTGTGTCTAATTTCTTTCAGCAACATTTTTTAGTTTTCAGTGTATTTCACTTTCTTGGTTACATTCATTGCAAAATATTTTATTCTTTTGGATACTATTGCAAAGGGAACTTTCTTAATTTCCTTTTTGGATTACTCTTTGCTAATGTATGAAATGCAGTTTCTTAATGTGTTGATTTTATATCCTGCAACTTTGCTGAATTCCTTTATTAGTTTCAACAGTTTTGTGCGTGTGTGTGTTATGTGTTTAGATTCTTTAGGGTTTTCTACAGATAGAACTTCTACTTCTTCCTTTCCAGTTTGGATGCTTTTTATTTCTTTTTCTTGCCTAATTACACTAGCTAGAACTTCCAATACCGTGTTGAATAGAAGGGATGAAAACAGGCAGCCTTTTCTTGTTTGTGACCTTAGGAAAAAAGTCCTTTAAATTTTCCTAACCACGGGAATGTTTCACCTGGTCAAACTAAGTGAAATATACTTTTTCTTTAGTAGCCTTCTGTGTCTCATACCGGAAGTAGCCTCTACACTCTCTGCCCTGCACTGCATGGACCCGTGCATATACATATATATATACACACATATCCTGCCCTGCTCTCTCTCCTGTTGTGCTTGAAGGTGACATGGTGTCTTGGTCAATTTTGAATCTCCCTGACCACTGGCTCAGGGCTGTCTGTGCCCTCAGTACAGGTTTGATCTCAAATCTGGTGTTCTGCTTGAAAGGAAGAACTGGCAGCCCAGGACAAATCGGAGTTCTGACTTATCAAAATCTCAAGGAACCTGGAATTCAGAAACAGAGTGTCTCTAATGCTGTTGCAGCCATGCCTGCAATAATTTCTCTTATTATCACGTATTTATTTAACCGTTATTACAGGCAGGCCTGGGAAATATAAGCCATTGTCTCTGCCCTCACATGGCTTAGAGGTGCTTTCTGGAGATATTTGGTGGCTGCTGAGTCAAAGGAGGTCCCTAATTGTACCTACTGGCAGGCATCAAGGCACCTGCGGTTACTCACCCTCTCTCTGCTGACTGCTGGGTCAAAGGCCAGAGGCACACCTTGGCTAAAAGACCAGACTCTTTTGGGTGCAGACCTTTTCTGGTCTGAGCTTCCTGGAGAATTTGATTAGTGAAAACCAGGACAAAGGGAACTGTCCATTAAAATGAGGAGAATGCCAGCTCAGGGTTGAGGTGACTTTGCAAGATTAGGAACTTTCAAGTGAAGTGGATTCCACGGAAGGATTCTTTTTAAGCGCCTAGGAAGAAGAAGGTCCTCCCTGAAGAAAAGAGAGAGAAAAAAAGAGGTAGTTGCAAAGACAGCTAAAACAAAAAACAAATCAGGGAACCCATATACTGGGTTTATTAGATGCCAAGCAGGGTTCCAATCTCTATCTATCTATCTATCTATCTATCTATCTATCTATCTATCTATCTACCTACCTATGTATCTATCTTTACTTAATCCTCACAACAACACTATAAGCTAGTTACATAAGAGCCAATGAGGGCTCCAAGAAGTAAAAGAGTGGCTCCAACCTCAAGGCAACATGTGTCCATGTCCATGTGTGGCTGGGACAGAAGGGACCCGGAGATTTCTGCAGGCAGGTCACAGGGAGACCTGGGGAGAGCCATCCTGGAATTCTCGCCCAGGCCTTGACACCCCCAGAATGTTCTTTTCAGAGATTTTGTGGCCTTTTTACAGGCCTCCCCTACTATCTCTACAGAACTAGCTCTGGAGACATACTAAACTAAGCCCTTTCTAGAGGAGAACTCGTTCCTAGTAGCACTTTTCAGGCCCGTTGGGGAAAAGGGCTTCTTACCACCAGGTGAATCAGAGAAAGCTGGGCTCACAACAGAAGCTGAGCCTGTGAGGTCTTGCAGTTTTTCTGAAGGGAAATCAAACCTACTGTTCCTGACTTAAAAAAAAAAAGAAAAAAAGTAGGGGGGCGGTATTGCTCAGTGGTAGAGCGCATGCTTAGCATCTGTGAGGCCCTGGGTTCAATCCCCAGTACCTCCATTAAAAATAAATAAATAAACCCAATTACCACGCCCCCCAAATGTGCATATGGCTTAAGGAAAGGCATTTGATGGTGACATATTTGTAAGTGTTGAAACTCCCAGAACTTGCCCATTCTTGACAATTTCTCCAGGTGATTACTAATGATCTCATTTTGACCATGATACTCAACCTGCCAAGTAAGGGAAGGAGGTATTATTTCCCCCCCATATTAATTTTATCTCCCAGGTTTTATTGGCAAAGCTAAGTCACTAGCCCCAGGTGTATGACTCAGAAGCTGGGGCTCTTTCCTGCCAAACACTCTTTTTTTAAAAGTTTCTGTTCCTGGATTAATCACTGTTTCTCTTTCCAAGGAGTCAATCATCCCCTCTGCCTCTTTTCTGCCTTCTTTCCTGGGTTTCCCTGTAAACCTGCTGAGGGGTTACTGTGCCCTGTCAAGCTCATTTCGGAATACCTCAGACAACTCCCCTCTTTCCTGAGGGAACCCTCCAAAACTTTCAGATCCTTTGTGGGAGGCTTTTTGGCAAGTGGGCCTCTGGCAAGAGGATGTATCTCAACAGATACCCTGATTCTTAAAACCTGTTCTCAACCAGACTTCTGTGGTTTAGGCAGTCAGGTTCAACCCTGAAACCGCTGTTCTGTTTCAATTTTGCTTTAGGGAGAGGAGGTGGCCTTTATGTTTGTTCAGCTCCTCGTAAAAGGATAAATCAATATTTATGTCCAGACCCCAGATACTGGGTCAATTGATTTTAGAGATGTTTTTGCTCATACTTCATTCAAGTGCTGGATCCCACAAAACAAAATCAGTTTTTGGCTGTATTTTCGTGATGACTTTACTTAAATGCCTCATTGATTACTGTTTATGTGGTGATTTGAAAGAACCCTCTAAAACTATACGTGAAGAAACAGTTAAAATCTATAAACAATTCCTAGAAAGGAAAAGGCAAGTAGAGAAAGGAGAGGGGTAGGTTTCCAACATTTCTAGTTTTTCCTTTTGAGTTAGAGGGGAGATGACATTGGCCAATTAGATGATCTGGAAGGACAGACAGATGCTAATCTTCTTTGGGCACCAAGGAGAACGTAATTAAAAGTTGAGAGAAATTTAAAGGAGCTCCTTCAAGAGACGTGTGATTCCAATTTGGGGTGGGGCTGGGAGGCTCAGCTCTTCACCGGCAGCCAAAATAGGATAAATTCAGCAGCCAGTCCAGGAGCGGCTTTGGAGAAGGACTGGAATCAGAGTCAGGGCTTCAAGGGTTAAGGAGCCCATGTCACATCGGCCGTTCGAAACTCCTCCTCTCGAGACTCCTCCTCTTGCAGTGAGGTGAAGATATTTGAAAATCACCCCACTGCAAACTCCTCCCTCCGCGAGAAACCTCACATTGAAATGCTGCAAATGACTGGGGCCCCGCGTGCAGTCGCGTCCGGGCCGCGCGACGCCAGGGTTACCAGAGCGGACACAGCGGATAGCAGCCCGGGCCGGGGCGTTGCAGGTGGAGGCTGAGAGCATGAGACCCGCGGGCTGGGGGCTGCGCTGGGCCGTTGCCCTGTTCCTCGCTGCGGGGTCGGCTGCAGGTAAGGCTGGCTCCAGAAGCCCGTGCGGGGTAGGGGTGAGCCCCCAACTCAGGGATCCCCCTTGGTAATTCTGGGGGAGAGAGAACGGAAAAAAATCACTCCATCCTTGGGTGACTTGTGGGAAAATCGCACGTAGTCCCTCCCAAATGGCTGGAGGGAGCACTAAAGGGCGCGCGAGTGTTTGGAGGGTCTAGGAGAGTCAGAGGAAACGGGGTGCGGCTTTCCCCACAAGTCACCACCCAATGGAGACTTATTAGAGCGGGGCACGCGGACCTTCAGCCCCGGGGGTTGGGACCCCACTGCCAGAGTTATTCCAGGGGTGAGAATGACCCGAAACCAGGCTGCTCAGCCTGGAGGTCCCTGCGGGCGCTTCCTCGTGCAGATTCCCCGGCAGGGGTTACGGCGGCGGCCAAGTTGGCTGTGTGCTGCCGGAGGGCGCTGCTAGCTCCCGGAGCGCGCTGCTAGCTCCCGGAGCGCGCTGCTAGCTCCCGGAGCTGAGCAGAACGAGCCCACCACGGTCCGCGAACCACGCTTCCGCCAGAGGCCACCGCCTCCAGCCCCGCCTTCTTTCCCGTGGGCCCTCCCCCGAGCTCCCATTGGGCGCCATTCGAACAGGCGAGCCTCGAGCCACTCCCCTTGGCCAATAGGACGCCGTGGCTGCGGAGGCGCGCGCGGCGCGGGGCGGGGCTGGCTCACGACTCACGCCGCACCTCGTTCTTGGTGAGGTCGAAGGAGATTCCTCCCGTCCGTCCCGGGCTCCTGTCACAAAAGAGGCCACACGTCCTGGGCCTCTGGAGACTCACCGCGAGCATGGACGAGGCCCCCGCCGAGCGCCTGGGCCCCCTCAGCGAAGGCCTCGGTTTCCTCCGTGCTCTTGTGGCGAGGCCTTCGTCCCCACTTTGCCATCGGGGTCGCCCGCGCTCCGCCCGCCCTGGACAAGTTCGCAGACATGTCCCCACAGGCCATCCTCAAGGCCTCGATTCCTTCCCAGGCTGAACCGTTGCCTCACAAATTCCTGGCCCTCGATCGGACGCGAAGGGCACTTCACGGAGACCTTCAGGGACCGATGAACCCCTCGGGGTTGCCTTGTTTGTTCAGAGGCGCTAAATGTGTTCTGTGCAGCTCCCCACAAGACGACCTTTCGTTTTAGGGGGTTTGAAATTTAGATTTGTCTAAATTTCTCTTGGGTAGTTGGTGCGCGATCCTGAGTTATCCATTGCCTGCCAGAGGCGTTTGACCTCGCCCAGGATAATAGAGTAATGGTTCTTTCCTACTTACAACCAGCTAAGCCTAGATAAGAATTGGGATTGTTTGATTAACCGGATGCAGGAAGCTTTTTTTTATTGGCAGGGAAGTGGCTTTGAGCAGAGACCTTTGAACTCTTGGAATCAGTACTTGTGACACATCAGTTTCCTGTAGGAGGAGAGGAAGGGAGGTTGCAGCCACATGGCAGGGGATTAGTGTAATAATTCGGCCGCCCAGTTGTGTGAAAAGGAGGGAGCTTGGCTTGGTCAAGAAGCATTTGATCAACCTGTATTTCACACACTGCTCCACTCCTTCCTGAAGAGGAAATAATGGCAATGAAGTCTTGGGCAAGATGTGTTGCTTCCTTTAGTTTCCTCTTTCACTGTGGTTGAGAATCTGATGTATTTCGGTTCTCAAGGAAGCTCTGAGTCCAGATGCATTCCCCAGACTCTTGAGAGCTGGCATTTACCGGGTAACTTCTCTGATGTTAATGATGTATGTTTATAGCAGCCCTGGCTACTCCAGTTTGCCCTCGGGGCCGGAATTTCTTGTTTCCTTTGGGAATTGAAGTAGTTGGAATCTTAATTGCATACTTTCCCTTAGCCAGATCAAAATCAGTTGGGTGGGGGGGGCGGGGGGGCAGGGCGGGTATCAAATTAGCTAGGGACACACCCCAACTCTCCTTTCTGGGTGATCCTGCTGAGAATTGTGTCTGCTTTAGCAACATGCCCCAAGGGGATTCATTGTTCATTGCCAGACATATTTTTCTTCCAGGGCAACACTGGCAAAAGATAGGGAGAGTGTTGTTTGAGACTGCAGAGCTTTCAGGGGAAATATGTGCCTCATTCTGTTTTTCTAGGGTGTTCCTTCTCTCTGTAGGGTTCGTCCTCTGATAAGATCCAATTCTAGATGCTTTTTATGCTTGGTGCTTTGATGCCCACTTACCTTCAGTATTAAGTACGTTAACAGCGTTCACACTCTGCCCCACTGTCAAGCAAGTGACCATGTGTTGCTAAGACACTGTGGAAGTAGCCAGCAGGGAACAGTGACAGAAACAGGGTACCCCTCCCCAAAGGAGCAGGCAACAAAATCTACCATAGAGATCACCCCTGCGGAAAGTACCTTGGTGTCACCTCTTTTGAAAAAGAGCACTGATCAACAGATTTCTCATTCATTTTCTTCTGAGTCTGTTAGCTCCAGCCATTTCTTTTCTCAAGGAAGTGATTCTATGTATGAATTTGATTTCCCCGAACAACTACGATCTTCAGTAGCTGCGGAAATAAAACATCGAAAGCATTTACCACCTCATTTGTGTGCTGGAGAAAAAAGCAGAAATGTGTATTCCTCTTTGTGTTTCGATAACCTTGTTCCTGACTTGTCACTCGTGACCAGAGAGATCTAAGGGCTAGAGTTTAGAGATTTGGATAGGGCAGGGCGATGCTTCTGTGGTTTGAGGCATCTCCAGCAAGAGGAGAGAGGGGATGGGGAACTCTGTTTGCCTTGGCTGAAATTCAAATGAGACTGACAGGAAAAACCCAACCCTTGCTCCTGGAACAGGAAGGAAGCCAGAAAGACGTGTGGTTTCTTTGGGCTGTGGTATTTGAAACAGGACTAGTTCTGTCCGTTTGCCTGCTGTGGGGACACCCATCTGATGTGTTGTCCCTTGGTGCTCTCTGGTCCTCATCCCCATCCCCACAAGCAGGGCCATGGGACTTATTTCCCAGCAGACCGCTGTCTGTAACAGTAAAATCCATCTGGGGCTGTTGGCCGGCTGTTGCATGACCTGTTCAGATAGAAATAGGTAGTGGTGGGGTCTTCCTGCTGCTGAGATCTTCAGCCATCTGTGACAAGCAAATACTTGAATAACTGTTGCCAGGGGAAGGCTTGTAGTCCAGGGAAAGGGGTTATTGTTCCTTATCCCTCTTTAAAGAGATCACGAATATTTCTCATCTTCCTGGTGGCACATTTCATTGGTAAGATGGGTCCTGTTGCCAAGTGGATTAGTGGTATCCAAAGCTCCGGTCTCCTCAATGGGAGACAGAATGACAGAAGTTCCTCCGGGATCCTCATTGTGAATGCCCCTTGCCTGAACTTCCTTTTTACTTTTTTCTGAGAGTCCTGGAATTTCGATTGCTTTTTGCCCACCCTGTGTGCCAGCAACAGAAAGTGAGTCATTTCCTTTTTCAGGCATGATCAAAATTCGGCTGTGAGTCAGTGGGGTGTAGGGTGTGGGGTGTATTGTAGACTCATCTCTGAGGGAGGTATCCTGTTTGGACCCGTAGCTGGGCAATTCATTTGTCAGTCTGTGTTTTTTTTTTTTTTTATTCTTCATAGTCTGTCTCATTACAGGATATTATAAGATATCGAATATTGTTCCCTTTGCTGTACAGAGGGACCTTGCTGCTTGTCTGTTTTGTATATAGTAGTTTGTATCTGCTAATCCCAAACTCCTAATTTATCCCTCCCTCTCTTTCCCTTTTGGTAACCATACATTTGTTTTCTATGCCTGTGAATCTGTCTCTGTTTTGTAAATAAGTTCATGTGTGTCATTCTTTTAGATTCCAATTATAAGTAATATCGTATGGTATTTGTCTTTCTCTTTCTGGCTTACTTCACTTAGTATGATCATCTCTAGGTCCATCCATGTTGCGAATGGCATTCTTTTTTATGGCTGAGTAGTATTCCACTGTGTGTGT